ATGCCATGTTGTATCAATAAAAAAAAAAAAAAAAAAAAAAAAAAAAATTATTAATTATTAAACTTATTTTAGTAATTAAAACTTTTGCTTTAACTCATATTCATATGATGCTCAATTATTATAAACTAATAGATAATATAGTTATTAGTTACTACGCACTTATAACTATCATATCTAAGCCAGAATTTGACTAGTCAATAACTGGGTTCTGCAAGGGCCTAGTTATTTCTTGATTAAATTTTGGCTCAGATACTTTCTGTTATTTGTCATATGTAATGATAAAATCATGATCATATAAATCACAATATAATTATATCATCTACTAAATAACTCTAGTTATTAGATGCTTCATATTCAATAACTATATAAAATCTAATAAATATTATTTTAAAATATACTTTTAGAATTATATATAATATAATATTAGATTATACAAATAAAATTTAGTTATTTTTTTTTTTTTTTATTAAAGCTACCTTCTTACCAATTAAATTATATTAATTTGCTATTATGAAATTACATATATAATAATCTCTTGTTTTAGAAGTTATTCAGTTTTAATCATTTATATTGTTTATCTTTTTATAGCTACTCTGTTTTGTAGCTATTCCTTGAGCTTTTATTGGAGTGCCTTTAGGATCTATTAGAAGTTCTCTGGTCAAACAAAAAAAATGTAAATTCTGTAATTTGTGTAACATGAGATGCAATTCGCTTATTATAGTATCACACGTGCTTGTGGATTGTACACTGAAAATTTTTGAGACAAGTGCCAGTGCTATTACTAACGCCAGTTGTGACACAAGTGCTAACTCGGATGCTAACTTCAGTCGAGGTACCAATGAACGACCCAAAATTTCTTTTAGGCGAATATTATCGTTAGATTCATCTTTATCACCTAAATACAGAAATAAAATATTTATACATTAAAAGCTTAAATAAAAACAGAAGACCGACTTTCGATTTTATGCAATGAAACATGTTGATTACCTTCAAGATGCTTATCCGTATTTTTGTCTTCAATTGCATTATTAGGCTGTGTAATTTGTTGACAATCCGTAACAATATTATTTGTAATAAATTCAGCAGTTGTTTCTTCTAATAGATCTTTCGTAAAAATATTATTTGTAATAAATTCATCGGTTGTTTCTTCCAATAGATCTTCCGTAGCAATTTTATTTGTAATAGATTCAATGTTTGTTTCTTTTAATAGATCTTCCGTAGTAATATGATTTGTAATAAATTTATCAGTTGTTTCCTCTAATAAACCTTCCATAGCAATATTAATATTATTGGTAATAAATTCAACGGTTGTTTCTTCTAATAGATCAAGTTTTTTCGAAATTTCATCCAATGTCGGACGCTGGTTTGAAGAAGACTGACATTTTTCATAGAGCTCGACATAACCTAAGGGTGTATTTTCAATTTTTTTTTCTTTTTCGTTCTTTAAAATCTTCCAAATTACTCCCAGACAAGGAATATTATTAAATGGAGGAATCCCGCTCGTGAGTTCCCATAGCAATACTCCTAGACTAAAAATATCTGATTTCTTATCGCGTTTACTTTTATCGGAATGGAAGAACTGTGGGTCAATATATGCTGGTATTCCCGCTGAACGTCTGCCCGAAGTGGTACTTTCATTCAGATGTTTTGAGATCCCAAAGTCTGAAATTAAGGCACTACCATTATTTATCAATATATTCTTTGAATGCTAGGAAAATTTTAGAATTATGATTATTAGAAATTGAATATAGAGATTAGGGCGCTTAAAATTAAACTTACTAGATCCCTATGAATGATATCATTATTATGTAAATGCGACAATCCAAGAGTTATCTCCTTGGCAATTTTAATTAGTTCATTCCATGAAATTTTGTAAAGGCCGTCTATTTGTTTTGTTTTTAAATAATCTCTTAGGTTACCACCATTTGCAAGTTGTAATACCAACATCAAATTATCCTTCTCTATAAGTTCAATAAATAAAGGTTAATGATTTACGTATATTAATTTATTTTTAAAATTGATATCAGATATTCTCTAGCACCTCTTGAAGTTCCGTATAATTTGATAACATTAGGATGGTTAGTCATATGTAGAAATTTAAGCTGTATTATTGTATAGAAGTTGTTAACTTAGACGTTAAGAAGCCAAATACAGAATGACGAGTTATAATTACCTCCCGCCTGATTTGTTTTATTGCTTTGTCGTCCAACACCAAGTTGTTATTTAAACTTTTGAGTGCATACTTTTCTCCTTGAAGAACAGTCGAGTATACCACTGCAAATCCTCCTTGTCCAATCCTTTGAGGTTCACTAAACTGTGAGTACTCAAAATTTTTAATATCTTTTAGATCCATTTCTAACCGCTTTGAAAAATCCATATTAATGAAGTGCTAAAATTAATTGCGTTTCAAGATAAGATGTATGCACTAGAGAACACAAATCACGTGGGGAGGAAAAATTTAAATTGAATATTGATAGTCTCCGGACAGCATTGAAAGTTTAATTTTTATTAATAATTAATTCAATTAATTACATTATGGCGAATTGAACCTCTTTAAGTTCTAAAATTTAAATTTTGCAGAAACTAATTTCGCCAATCCACCACCCATCCTTTGAATGATATTTCAAAGACCAAAAACATACTAACGATAAAAAATTTGTTCATGATTAACAGTCAAGAAATCCTAATAACACATTAACAACATTGACTCCCAAAGACTCCATGTGATATCCACCTTCCATTACAAAAAGTGTTGGTAACCCTGCTGATTTAACTATCCGTCCAATTTTTTTATATGCTTCTGTCGTAATTTGAAACCCTGCAATTGGGTCATCCTTATATGTGTCAACTAGTTCACACAAAACAATAAATAAATCAGAAAATAAATAAATAACTGCCACACCCTTTGCGTTCATGCAATCAAATATACAATGCAGTTACTTTCCTTAAATCCATGCAAACTTGGCATGTTCGTATATCGATGGTGATACTAGTAGAAATTGCGTGAAGATATATACAGTCACTCTGGTTATACTGACATCTGGATATAACGACACCATAGTAAAATCTTTCTATACCGACATTTTTTTTCAATAATTTAATATAAAATGTCGGTATAATTCACTACCAAAAATGTCGATATAACCAGAGTGACGTGTAATATTCATTCGGGGAACGATGAAGATTACAGATCTAAAAAGTTTCAAGGTAAATCCATGGTTATCCAAAATTCACGTTTCTGT